TCAGGTGGAGGTCCTGTAAACAGGATAGGAACCTGCGTGAACGGTGGGACTTTGCTGTCTGCGTCTCCCAGCAGATGTCTGGGTAGTTTAGGTCCCCCATGACTACCGCCTCCCTAGTTTTTATGGTCTGCGAGAGCTGCCTCAGGAGCCCCAAATCTATTTCTTCCCCTTGGTGTGGGGGTCTGTAGCAGACCCCTACCACCAAATCCCTTTCTCCCTGACCTCCATGTAACCTAACCCACAATCCTTCTACTTTCTCCGATTCCGTTTTGATAAGGGTCGATGTATATTGCTCATTGACATAGAGCGCCACCCCTCCCCCTCTCTTTCCCACTGTATCCTTTCTGTACAGCTTATAACCCTCAGTGTGTACCACCCAGTCGTGGGAAGAATCTCACCAGGTTTCTGTTAGCCCTACTAAGTCGTAGGTGTTTTCTGCAAGCAGGAGTGCTTGCAGCTTGCAGCACAAATTGTTGTCAGATGAGAAGGTAGTCTTTTTGTTCCATCTCCAGACTTTATGATCAGTTTTTCTTGTGTAATTCTTTCCTCCTTGTATTTATTTATTAAATCTTTTTATTGTTTTGTCTCCTTACTAGTTGCCTGTGGTAAAGTGGATATCAGGGCAGATGATATTCCAGGCTAACCCATTCTATAGGAAGGGGGACATAAAGTTGCCTTGGGTTCTTTTACCACCCAAGAGGAAGCCACTTGGAGCTGACAGAGCTGTGAAGCCCAGTAAAGGGAAGTTGAGCAGAGGTTTGCAGGGATAAGGAGTTAATCTAGGGAAAAACTTCGTCTGTTCCTTGCAACAAGCAGCAGGACAGTGGGGAGAAACTCAGAGTTTTGGGAGAACCCCTCGAATGGGTTAGTGACAACTATAGTTTCATAGTTTCATAGTTTTAGGGTCAGAAGGGACCTAATAGATCTTCTAGCCCGACCCCCCGCCAGGGTGGGAGAACAACAAAAGAACCCTAAAAACAAAAAACGGGACTCAAATGAGTCCAGCCAGGTAGGTATCCAGCCTCTTCTTAAAGATCCCCAGGGTAGGGGCCAGCACCACCTCCCTTGGAAGTTGGTTCCAGCTCCTAGCCGCCCTAACTGTGAAGTAGTTTTTTCGGATGTCCAATCTGTACCTCCTCTCCATCAACTTGTGCCCATTACTCCTTGTTATGCCAGCGGGGGCTAGGGGAAACAGCGTCTCCCCCAAACCCTTCTGGTTCCCCCTAGTGAGTTTATAGACGGTCACCAGGTCCCCCCTCAGCCTTCTCTTGTGGAGGCTGAATAGGTTCAGGTCCCACAGTCTCTCACTGTAGGGTCTGCCCTGTTGTCCCCGGATCATGCGGGTGGCCCTCCTCTGGACCCTCTCCATGTTGTCCACATCCCTCCTGAAATGGGGCGCACAGAACTGGACACAATACTCCAGCTGCGGCCTGACCAGCGTCGCATAGAGGGGGAGGATCACCTCCCTGGCTCTACTCGAGATGCACCTGTGGATGCACGACAAGGTCCGGTTAGCCCTGCCAACCATGACCTCGCATTGTCGGCCCATGTTCATCTTGGAGTCAGTAATGACACCAAGATCCCTTTCCGCCTCCGTGCTCTCAAGTAGGGAGTTCCCCATCGTATAAGTGTGCTGCTGGTTCCTACTACCCAAGTGCAGCACCCTGCACTTGTCCGTATTGAAACACATCCTGTTCCTGTTTGCCCACCCCTGTAACCTATCCAGATCCTTCTGCAATCTCTCTCTCCCTGCTAGCGTGCTCACCTCCCCCCAAATTTTGGTGTCATCAGCGAATTTAAACAGGTTGCTTTCCACCCTAACATCAAGATCGCTGATGAAGAAATTGAACAGCGCAGGCCCCAGGACCGAGCCCTGGGGGACTCCACTACCCACCTCCCCCCAAGTCGAGTATGATCCATCCACCACCACCCTCTGAGTGCGACCCTTCAGCCAATCTGCAATCCATCTGACTGTGTAGGCATCTATGCCACAGTCGCCTAGTTTATTAATTAGGATGGGGTGAGAGACGGTGTCAAAGGCCTTGCTGAAGTCCAGAAAGACTACATCCACCGCGACACCTGCGTCCATGGCCTTTGTGACCTGATCATAAAAGGCAATTAGGTTGGTCTGACATGATCTCCCCCTAATAAATCCATGCTGATTGCCCCTGAGCATCATTTCTGATGCCGGCCCATCACAAATGTGCTCCTTGATGAGCACATGAGCACTATGTCCTGAGGAATCTGCCAACTTACTATTCCTCCCTTTCAGAACTTACATCACCAGTGGTTTCTTCTAGGAATTTTTAGTTCAGTGATTCCTGGACCAAGCAGGATGCACGAGCAGTGGATGAGATCATTGAAGTTAGCAGAAAGTAAAGATAGGCACAAGCCAGAAGTTTCAGGTCTGGATTCAATGTACATTTTTCCAAAGTTCAGGGACATCTGAACCCAAAATTCAGGGACATCTGAACACTGGAGAGTTATCTGCACTGTAATCATAAGCCTACTGAAACTGTGACTCATCTTTCCTTTTTAAGACCACTAGTCCTCTTTTTCATCTTGCGTCCCTTGTCTTTCCCCTTAAGCCCTTTTACTTGAACATGCTGGCTAGACCACTATAGATGAGTTCCTAAATACGTTGAAGCCTCCTCTTTTTATTACCTGCTTTGCACTGTATCATACTAGATGTTCCCCTAACCTGAAATAGAATCAGGTTTAAACTTTAAGAGAATTCTGTGATAATGGAATTCAGCAATGCTTCCCACATGGCCAGCCTAGCTTGTCAGTTTATTTTTTTATTCCCAACAATCTAAGTAGGACCATAAATAATCTTTTAACTGAAGGCTCAGTTGTATCTGTAAAGTATAAGCTTGTTTGCCAGGTGGCTTGAAGCTGTGTTATTACCAGAGGAAATTCAGGAGTCACCGTGCATTTGGTGCAATTCACCCACTGCTTTCTCTTGAGTCCATTTTTTTAATAGCACATTAATATTTTAGTGCCATGAGGTTTGATTTTCATATGGTAGTCCTGTTGTAACAATAATTAGCACTGTGATTTAAACCGTTTAGCCAATGTCAGAAGATTATTTTCCTTTATTCAGACGAAAAAAACAAGTCAGCTAATAATTATGAACCTGATCTTATATGCCTTGAATAAGCATTACTCCATTTGATGTCAATGAAATTACTGCTTACAAATGCCTAAGAGGACCAATGTCAAAGAATTTTGGGTACCCAGTTTGAGAAGCCTACAGTTTTAGCACTCTGTAAATTTGTATATGTTCAGAGCAGGACTCCTATTGACTTTAGCCACGGTGGTGAACACTCAGCACTTTCACAAATCAGGCTAGATGTCCCAAGTTGGATACCTAGGAAATGAGAAACATGCAATGCCGCCTCTGAAAATTCTGACTTTAATAGCTTGTCCAGCATTACTTAGGAATTCTGTAGCTGAGGCAATGGTAGACTTCAGTTCTCTGGGGAAATATTCAATTGTCTGTACCATGGAACATCCTTTTCTTCCTCATTCACTACACACCTTCCAACTTTAGGAGCAAATTAAGTGGAGTACCATGGACACCCAGAAGGAGAATGAAAGAATGAGGAAGGAATCCTGTGAAAAAAACGAAAGACTGATCATAAAGTGTATGTTCAAGGGGGAAATTTAAGGTTGCCCAGAAAACCTGAATTCTGAAATTCCTTACATTCTGAGCACTTGAATTTGCAACCTGTATGACTCTGTGATGCAGGGTTTGGGGTTGTTTTTTTCCCCCTAAATGTAATTTCCTGAGTTTCTCTAAAGTCCTGATAACTGTGTCTCATTGTGCTGCTATATCAACCTCCTCCCCAGTTGCGTTCCCATCTTCTTGCCTATTATCTCCCCTCACTTAACAAAGTTTATAAATAAATGAATACAGGGTCTTATAAGGTAAAACAATGGTCAACTTTAACTACAGACGGACTTTCACCTACACAAAAACTACTGGGCGCATCTACACATGATGCTACATCGCTGTAGCAAAGCGCTATGGTGAAATAGCGTCTGCAGGCAGGAACCGTGACACCACGTGCTATGGCAACGTAGTGCCTAAAAATAACTGCACAGCACACACGGTGCAGTATGGAGTGTTACTGATATGGTATGTTATGTTACCAGAAGGAAGTACTAAATGATGGCACAATAACAAAATCACCATGGCAACATGTGTAGACAAGCCCACTTTCAATTAGCCTATATGAAATATCATCACACATATATATGTGTGTATTTGCATCTCCCTCTCTCTATCAAATCAAAATACTAAAAATAAACTAATGTACTGATCTTTTGTCATTTAAAGGTAGGTGAAAGAGGCCTCAACCTCTCTGGAGGTCAGAAGCAAAGAATCAGCTTAGCTCGTGCTGTTTACTCTAATAGAGACATTTACTTGTTGGATGATCCCTTGTCAGCAGTTGATGCACATGTCGGAAAATATATTTTTGAGAAATGCATAAGAGAAGCCCTTAAAAAAAAAACCATAGTACTTGTAACTCACCAACTGCAGGTAAATAAAGCAAAACTCACTTTCACTAATTGTAAATATAAAATACATTGTAGAATATGTATGTAGAAGTATAAATGTGAAACAATATTCAATTCTACAAATACATTCTTCATAAAGGAAAAACATGCTTTCTGTTATAAAAGGAACTGATGTATGTGGCACTGACCGCGGAGCCCCACAAAGCGCGGGGCCCAGGGTGGTCACTCTGATTTGCCCCCCTAGGGACAGCCCTGGCCGCAGGGAATGGGGAGAGGTGGCAGTATGCGGTGCCAGGGAAGCCAGGCTGCCAGTGACGCCTACAGTGGGGATGCTGTTAGTGGGAGAAGCATGGTTGGGGAGCACCCACACAGAGCAGTGCTACTGGGGTAGAGTACTCATGTGGCACCATGTTGCACTGTAAAATTGGGAGCTATAGGTACTTTCAAAAGTAACTTATTAAGTAATCTCCAACTATTATTTTCTTTTTCTTTGCTATGAATAAGACAAAATTTGTTTTGCTCATAGTTGCTGCTCTTCAGGTAAATATTATTATCATCATGTATTTTCTGAAAATAATTCCTGGCCCTAAAGTAAATTATGGTCAAAATATATAAATAAAGATTTTACCTTTTTCCTGCTAAAAGCAGACAACAACTTTAATTGAACTCTTATTAGGCCAGGGTATGACTTGAATCAAAACAGATGTGGCACAGCCATTTGCACAACAGACTAAAATGGCAATTAAGTTGAATTAGCCATGATTATTCAGAGATGAGGTTCTAATTCAAATAATTCACAGGTACTTCATGTGGGACAATGGGTTTGGCAGCCTGTAAAGTCTGGGGTTTGCTGTGAGATAAAATGATCAAAGATGAATCAAGTTGGTTGTTGTTTTCAGCCTTACATTCCATCTCTGTTTCCTACATCAGGGAGTGAAGCATAGACTTCATTATGCAAAATTTGAATCAAGAAGCAGAAAAATGTAATCAGCTGCTTCCAGTTCTTCATTTCCCCCATTAGTGGTGGATATCTTTATCAGTTTATGTTTCAGCTACCTTAAGGAAAAAATCATAATAATTAAAAATAAATATTGGTAGTTAGTTTATTAGGCACTCTAATTTCTCACTGATGCGCTAGAGATTACTGAGCAATTTATTAATATACATGGAAGAAACATTTATTAAATATCATTTGACCATGCTGCATGAGTTATTAGCCATTTTTATTAGATGCATGAGTTATTCGTAATTGCCAAGTTAGCTAGTGAAAACTACTTCCAATATAGTACTGGGGACCTTGCCATTGGCACTAATGTGTACTTAAAAAACAGTATGCAGGAACTGCAAGATCAGGCCTACTGATGGAGTTGTTTGTCATTAAGAATATTAAGAATGAGCCAGATACAACAAAATCTACAAGTTAGACTTCAACGAACAGCACTCTTTGTGGGCCTCACCAACTTTTCCATTGATTTCTTTGGGGTTTGGATCAAGTCTCATATCTGTGATTTTATCACTTATTGTCCACAATCAACAAGTGTGTTCTGAGAAAAATATTTTCTTATGGACTGTGCTGGGCAAATGGTACAATAGGGGATCAGTAGAATCCACTTGTTTTTTGATGATGCTTCTGTTCCTATTTTGAGTTCAAATGTTCACTTGGTCTGACACCATCCTTTTCCCCCAGCTTAATTCTGACCTCTGTGCTTATGTAATACATATGGAGTATAAGGCTCATATTTGAGCAGACATCTCTCTCCAGTCTGGCTAAGTACTGTGCTTCAAGCCTCTCCTCCGGTAAACAGGAATATAGATATCCCTTTCAAAATCTTAATTTTCCACAGTTTATACTTTAACCTTAATTAGAGTATAAATGTCTATGTTCAGAATTAGCACTTTTATATCTAGAATGCCTCATAGCTACGTAATGGAAAAACTATCCTTCCTTTTTCACTGATCCAGTATGACCATTTATATTTTTTTCCTGCTAGTAATATAAAAGCAATTTGCCAGCAGGTGGCACAGAAGTTACAGCTTATACTGTCTTGAAGAACAAGCTGGAGAAGAATGCCCTGCACTAATATAAGAAAGTAGCGTGGCATGTAATAAATGCCAAAATCTAAATTAATGAAACTTTAAGGTCAGAGATAAAAGAAAAGTCAAGAAAAGCAAAATGTAAAATTCCTGCAACAATATTAACTGGGGACCTGCATTCATCGTGCATATGTTATGGTTGTTATTATTTAACAGTGTAAACAGAAATATAGAGAAATAACATAAATAGATAAGTATAACCTAATTGACACTGCTATAGAAGGCTTTAATGAGGTTCTTACTTCTTATTTTATCTGGAAACCTCAATGTTGCACTAATGTCAGTTGCATTTAACTGCCTAGCTTTTTTCTAAAAAGTTCATTGTTATGGTGAAAATGCACCAGTGCACATGTCCAGGAGTTCCTGATCTGAGTAAGTGTACTTCAAGATGTGCAGACTTGTAAGAGGTAATTGTGAGATGCTTAAAAAAAAACACCTGCATCCTTGCCTCCCTGGAACCCCCTGAGGAATGTTGGGGAGGACGGGGGAGGACCATCAGAAATTATATGGAATGGGTTTCACCCCCACATTGGGAAAAAGCAAAATTTAAAGGCATATTGCTATTCACCTACTTCAAATTTCTCAGTCCATTCCGGGGCAGACAACACAAGGGCCTTGGCCTGAACTGAAAGTACAATGTAACACATGAATGTGTTTTGGAAGGATAATAAGTGGTCTGCCAAATAATGTTATGCCAGGTTTAGGGCCTCTTTTCTGTCAGACAGATAGCAATAAAACCCAGAAATGTAACTGGGAATTTAGGTGCCTTAGGCAAGGTGGGAGATGTTCTGCTAAGGGCCAGACAGTGGTGAGGGTGGAGTGCTCAGCGGGGGAGAGCCTTACCAGAAACTCAAAAAACCTTGACTGCTGCTCCTACCACTGCAGCGCATTCTCCCTTTATACTGGGCCTGCCACCACCCCTTTACCATCTCCATATACACCAGCAGTGGCTCTAAATAGGGACCCAGGGCTCAAGCCCTACACACTGACTCCTAGTTATAGTAATGGTAAAACCTGTCTCCGTTACCCAGACCAAACGTCTTGGCTGGGATATGGGATGGTCCACAAGGGAAAAATGAAAAATACTCTCATTAAAGCAAGGAAATGCCAGTGGAGCCAACCTGCTCCATGAAACATACAAGACAAGGAGAACTTGGAAGATTTGTGCAGAAACAGATCTTCCATCTGAACTTCATGTTGGATCTCCCCAAACATCTACCATGGGCTGCTGGTTATCATGACAGCCAAAGGGTATTCCTTAACTTCCTGCCCCCAGCAGGTCCTGCGCAGCAGCTATATTGGTTTTGCTTCCATTGGTCCCTTCTACACCTGCAGCAATAAAGGAAGCATTGTTTTTATTAAGCCTAGGGAGTATGCTTCAGATTTATCAGAGACAAAATAAACAGAAATGCAATTAGTAAATTAATTAGAGTGCCCCTGTACTTTGGCAATCTGTAAATAATATGTCAGACCTTTGGGGTCATATCCAGCTAAGAGCTTTGCTGCTCTAAACTATGTTGGGCTCAGCACAGAAACAGTCCAAAAGCAATACAGCTATGAACAGTTTCTTTTCTTTGCAATTCCTCCTCAGCTGAGAAGTAAACCAATTAAGTTGGTTAAAAGGAACCCAAGCAAGCTATTTTAATAATTTTGACTGAATCCTTGTAACAAAACTGACTGTATTGGAAAGCCATTTTAAAAACAATCCCTTTACGTGTTCAATTGTGACACACAAAAAGGAACACTGATCCTTGCATGATGGTAGCAAATGAACAAGAAATTGCTGAAATTTTCTCAACTGTGAAATGAAACTTGTTAATTATCATCATTCTATTGAAAATACTAGATACATGCATTTATTTCTACTGTAATCACAACGATTTTTATAGAATCACTCTTGCATTTTTAAAAACCCTGTAGTATTTGGAATTCTGTGATGAAGTCATTTTATTAGAAGATGGAGAAATATGTGAAACTGGAACTCACAAAAAATTAATGGAAGAACAGGGACGCTATGCCCAGCTAATTGAAAACCTCCATAAGGAGCAGGCAAAGGTAACACATAACCCTTAGTACTAAACATACTCCACTACTGACATGTTATTGAATACTGAAAGAGGAGGTTCAGATTTCACTTGCAAATTTGCCATTTTTTGCAGAAGCCAAAACATGTTTTGATTGAATCAGTAATAGAACCTAGGATGAAAAACCAAGACAAGAGTGATACCTCTAGAAGTTCTAAAGAAGGAGCTATAAATCCTGGTAAAATAAGTTATTTAATAAAGAATAAGAGGCTACTGTCTACAATGTGTAAAGAAAGTCTAGTTATGTGTCCGTTATTTCATACTCACAGGTTCCAACATGCCTAAAGAAGGAATCATCAATAAGGAACCTGAAAGAGACACACAAGGGAGAAGCACAACAGGTAGGTTAAACAGAATCCCTCTTCCTCTTGCTACTTTTTAGACATTGCTTTTTAGATGAATGAGTTTAATTGAAAATAAATATAACTTTCTGGTTTGAAAAGGACTGCTACTTTCAATCTTGTACTTTCTATCCATAATGAGCTAGTTTCTGCTTCTCAGTTCCTCTTGCCTGGACTGACTGCAAGATCTTTGGGGTATGTCAATCTTTTGTTTTCTATGGATGCATCTACACGTTGCCATGTGGTACGGCGATGTTGCTATGGCACTGTACTTTAGTACTTCCTTTTGGAGCTAATCTGAGGTAGGAGATACTTACAAAAGGAAATACTAAAGCACAGTGCAGTATGGGTGCTTACTACACCATGCATCTGGCTCATGGTTAGATTTCACTGCTACATTGCTGTAGCGGCGCACTATACCCAGGGAGCATGCCACTACAGCAACACAGCTGGCGAACACCTATAGACACTCATGATTGCTATGTCATCATAGTGCACATATGGCAATTTACTGTGTCATTATGTCACCACAGGGCAACTTGTAGATGCGACTCATTTGTCCTATGATGAGTGGGACTTCCACAAACGGACTCCAGGTATGGACACTGTGACAGGGGGCTGGCTTGTGGCTAGTCACCGTACTGGCCTGCCCCTCTGTCTAGGGCAGTCTGCCCTGTCCCCCCTGCCACAACTTGTTGTAATAAACTTGATGCAAAATGTGAGAGGCTGCCTATTTAATGCCCTGATGCCTAGGGTATTACACACAGCTCTGACCTTCCCTGTACCACGTCTCATGTCTCACAGATGGCATCCCAGAGTTCTTCCTCATTGACCCGCACTCAGCCTCAAAATGTCTGAGGGTTTACTGGTGTCTCCCTCTGATCCAAAACTCAGCCTCACCACATCTGAAGGCTTACTGGGGTCCAACTCCTCTGCCCCCTCACTGGGGCTACTCCTCCACTCATTGGGGTGACAACTTACACCCCCTCACTGGGGCTAACTCCCCAAACTATTTGTGGGGCTGGCCTATAAACAGACCTTTAGGTCACTCTTGCTGTCCTACTCCGTGTGCCCCCAGTATAGCCCTTCAGGCCACCCTTGCGGCCCTAATCTATGTGGCTCATTCTCTCACTACACCCCTTTACTGGGGTCAACACTTTTCCCCCTTGCTGGGGCCACTCTTCCATGCCCTTATTGGGGCCAAATCCACACCCCCTTACTGGGGCCTTGGGGTCTTACACCTCATGGGCTCAGGTGTCTGAAGACATGCCTGCCCCTACTGCCTGTCCCTCCTCTGGGTTACACACCAGGTTGTGGGGACTGGGGCTATAAGGTGCCCCTTACTCACCTTTCACTATGGAGGCAACTGGCATGGCATTTCCTGGGGACCACCCTGCCACAGGCAGCCCCACCACACCATCCTACCCCAGCAGGCTGTAGTTTTACATCATGCCCCAGGTCCAGAAGCCTCCTGCCATCCCCATAACTCCTGCCCTTTCCTCCAAAGATGTTCCATGAGCAGCAGCTCAAGCAGGTGATGTTCTTTGCTGGCTGCTTGCAGCACAACTTCTGGCTCATCTATGAGAGCCTGAGTTAAAATAGAGACTGCTCAGCCCCTCCCTCCTATCCCAGGGCCTTCCTGAGGTCATGTGACTGCCTCATCAGGGCTGGCCTGCACCTGCCAGCTGCTCTGCTGCCTGTTCTGGCCCTTTAAATTGGAAAGCACCAAAGGTGCTCTGCCACAGACACACAAGCAACTTACTGTGATGTAAATGGGGGCGGGGACCTGCAGCATGTTTACTATTCCACAGTAATTGCCTGTGTGTACATTCTTACATAACAGTAAATGACAGCTAATCCACAGTAACTTAATCTTCTTTCAGTGTGAGCTAAACTACCTCAGATTAGCTCCTATATACTGGGTGCATAAACACGAGATGCTTTACTGCTCAGTAGAACAGTTTACTGTGCAGTAAGTGTGTTTGTCTACATATGTGCACGCTTACTGGGCTCATCTGTATGAGGCGCTTAATGCACGGTAGTCAAATAACACTGCGCAGTAGCATTCCAGGCAAAAAATGTGCTGATACGTTACTGCACAGTAGTATTAGGCTACTGCACAGTAAGCGCACTAAAAACCCATGTGCCAGTGCTACTGTACAGTTACTGTAGTTACTACGCATTTAGTAAATACTTCATTAAGCAAGCACTAAATTAAATGTGCACTGACTACTGCACATTAATGAACATATAGACATGCCCATTGGGGGCATCTACATGTGAATTTACTGCACATTAAATTTAATGCACAGTAATTTACTGTGCAGTCAGTGGGTTTAAGCCAGCATCTACATGTGCACATGTTAAAGCACATGTTAAAGCTAAAGTTAGTCCTAAGTCAGTCCACATACACAGTGTTACTATGCAGTAAGGGGTCTACACGTATGTTACTGTGCAGTAACTAATTGTGCATAAATTTGATACCTGCATGATGCAGATATCAAATTTATATGCCCAAGTTGGTGTAAGTTGCCGTATTTACTGTGCAGTACAGGCATACATGTGTAGATATCGTCCATACTACACAGTATTTTTTGGTTACTGTGCAGTAATTTCAGTTACTGCACAGTAAATGTGCACATGGAGATGTGCCCACTGTGCACTAAACTGGTCTAATTGTAATTAAATTTGCTACCTGCAAATGCAAGTATCAGATTTACTTGTGATAAGTTCTGCACAGTAGCACTCATGTAGATTCCTGACTGGAAGCAAATCTGCTCCCAGTTGGCTGGCCAGCAGGGGGCAGGAGGTTTCTCCCTGCCCTCTTGGAGCTACCTGTTGACAGGGTGGGCTCTGCCACTGGACCCTCGGCAGGGTCTATGTCTGCCTATCCCAGAAGCGGGGAGCTCCCAGGCCCCTGCTCTGAGATTGCGGTCAAGGAGCGGGGGCTGGGAGATCCTTATCTCCTAGCCCCCACTTCACCATTATCCTTAGAATGGGCAATAAGACATACACATGAATACAAAAAGGCATTGGGGCAAAACTAAATGTAGAAAAAGTAAGTGCCTGGTGGTGGGGAAGATGGAAGGAATAGAAAACTGGGGTTACAGGTCACAACAGACCAAATCAATATACTGGGTGTGGAGGTGTATGTGCAGTTGACAGGTGAAACAGCCTGGAAGAAGGTGAAAGGGAAGGCTAAACAAAAAATGGAGCTGGTATGAACACAAGGTGTTAATGGCAGGACAGGTAAATGTAATTGAGGTTGTGATACTCCCAATCATACTGTACGTAGGCATGGTGTTTCCTCTGTTGTGAACCACTGCACACAGGATTCAATTGGAAGCAATGGTGTTCTTTTGGAAAGCCAAAAGGGAAAGGCTTAGGAGAACAACACTATACAAGGAAAAATTGATTTGAGGGTGGGGCTTCCCAAATGTGTTTCTGCTTGTTTATGCACAGTATCTCAATCTATGCTCCACAGAAGGGAATAAGGGGGCACCAAATGGGCTGAGTTTGTCCAGTTGTGTGCAGAAATGGTCTTGCATAAAAGGTCACTCTCATGGTCCTGGGTCTGGACAAAGCTCACAATGTACTAGAAGATTGTACAATTTGTAAATCAGTACAGTGTGTAGACAATAGTTGCAACAGAGTTGGTGGACCATAAAAATGTCAAGGCCTGAGTCAGGTAGAAGGAGACTATGTTCCCAGTTGGGAAGTTCATAGGGGACAAAGCCTGGACAATTTGGAAGGAGGTGTTTGACAAAAGCTTGCAGAAACAGCATTGGGACTTTGGTTGACTGTTAGCATGTTGGCTTATACTGCTATTGGTGCTCCATTACAGTTGGGGTATGTGTAGAACAGGTAAATGCCCCAGACAAACATGTCACAGGGATGAAAGCATAGCAAATGTGATGTGGGACTGTCAGTTCACTAAAATGGTCTGAGTGAAGGCAGAGAAACTCCAAGAGTTGGGTGCTAAGAGCCAACTGACACTAGAAGTGGTTCTCTGTGGAGTGTGGGCCGGGGAGGACAGAGGAGTGTGGAATGCTGTAGTGAGGTTTTGCACACATTGTGGAAGGCAAGAAACTTACTAGTCTTGCAACAACTGGAACTCTCTGTAGAAGATGCATTGCGTTTGGGCTTGAGCAAACTGGGGTAGTATTGCTGGTGGGACACAAGAGAACTAGGTAAGGAGTAGGTGATGGATTTATGAAAAAGAAAAGAATGGAGATACCTAGTAGATCTAGGAAGCTAAAAAGATGATGAGGCCTGAGAGGTGGCAGAGCTATAGCTGCAGGCCAGGAATTGGCTAGGAAAAGGCATGTTAGGGGCTAAGATATATATGAAATAAGGGGTGATAGGCATTAATAGATGAGTTTGGAAGGTGACAGGGAATAATGTGATATTAAGAAATTAAAATGTTTAGTCCCCTATATTAAATGGGAATTTGGGGAAGAGGGGAATCATTAGATAATGTATACATTTTCTTTTTTTTTTGGTCTTCTTTGTCAAAGTTTTGGAAGCTGATGGAAACATGTTTTAAGTCTTGACCTAAGCCTTATTGTTTTGTTTGTTTGTTGATGTATTTTTTGTAACGTAGTGTAAGCTGATTGAAGCATGTTTATTGTTCTGTTGGCCTGTAATTGATGCAGTTTTTTGTAGCACAATGTAAGCTGATGGAAATAGGCTTTTACGTTTTTGATACTTCTATAATAATAATAATAAGGTTCCTATCAGTGTGTTTGCTCAATATGGACCATGCATTTTATAGTCATGCTCAGTGTTGGCAGCATTTACTCAATTTCATAGTTGGTTTCCATTACTGAGCACATGCTGCTTTTGGCAGCATGTTTAATGGTAGACAATGTATTTAATGAGGTTTCCTTATATGCAAATATAAGATGAGAAGCTGTTTCCCCCATTCTGGGAAACAATATACGATAATTTTCTTTTTTTGCTTAATGGGCAAATCAGTCACCTTTATCCCTATTTCTTGGAACAGCTTTAGATAAATACAGTATTTTGAAACATATTGGAAATAATGATACCTCTCATTTGAAAAAGTATAACATAGCCAGTAACATGTAACATTTGCCTTGATACTGTTTCCCATCTTTCTTCTGGAGAGAGTGGGACAAAACTGAAAAATGGTAATTGAATGCAAACCTATTTAGAAGCATAGAAAATAGAGCTGGAAGGGATTTCAGGAGATTATCTAGTCCAACCTCCTGCTCAAGACAGGATGATCCCAGCCAAGTGTAAGTCTAACCTGCCCTTAAGACCCTCCATGGTTGGAGATTCTACAGCACAGAGGGCATTTGTTCCAATGCTTAACCAATCTCATAGTTAGGAAGTTCTTTGCAATAGCCAAGTTAAATTGTCCTTGATGCAAGACAGTTACTTTTTGTTCTGTCCTTGTAGACACAGAGAACAGTCTATCACCACACTCTTTATAACCACCCTTCAAACATTTGAAGGCTGTTATCAAATCCACCCCATCCCCCAGTCTTCTCTTCTTCAAATTAAATAATCCCAGTTCTTCCAACTCATGAATCTTGTTCCTACCCCTCTAATAATTGTTATTGCTCTCCACTGGATTCTTTCTAACTTGTCGATATCTTTCCTGAAGTGCAGTGCCCAAACCCAGACACAGTACTCCAGGTGAGGCAACACTCCTGTTAATACAATCCAGTATGCTATTAGCGTTTGGGGTTTTTTTGCAACAAGATGACACTATTGACTCATACTTTGTCTGTGATCCTCTATAACCCTTCTGCAGTACTGCAGCCTAGCCAGTCATTTTCCAATTTGTATTTCTGCATTTGATTTTTCTGTATTAAGTTCAAGACTTTGCACAATTTATTTCAAGCCATTTCTCCAGTATATCAGAATCATTCTGAATCTGAATTGGTCCTTTAATGGGTGGGTTTTCTAATGAGACTCCCTATAGTCATACCCCCATTTCCCATAGTGGTAGGGTAAAGCAGTCAAAGAGGTATTTTCAACCTAGCTGGAAGAACAGGGACAACTTTGAAATGTAAGAAATGTAATATGCTGTAAGTGTGGGGTTCTGATCAGAAAAATGTAGGGAAGGGGTGGAATAGATAGGACAAATAACATATCTACTACAAGGGGGTACCTCTGAAAGGTGTTAGGATAGTCTCTTCAAAAAAGCAGCAGCTAAAATTTCTCCGGCTAAAACATAAGCCATTACCTTCAGTTGAACCAAAGGTCACATGGGTAACATTGACCTACAGGTTTTTAATTATATCCCAACCTGGGCGAAACCATTATTTCAACAACTGTTGTATATCTGCTTTTAAGAAGAATACTTTGTAAGCCAAATAAAGTTATGGGTACTTTGTAAAGCACTAATATAGACAGCAAATAACTTTTTAGTTATAAACTTTCTCTGCATTGGGTCAAATTCTATACTGCAGCAGGATAGGAATTAAAATGCCAAAAACAGTTTTATAACTGTCTTAAGTGGTTTCTTATTCTTTGCTTTGGTTGACCTTTGTATTTTGTTCTGTTTAGGAAGAGAACAGAGAACAGGAATATCAATAAGGTTTTGCATTCAAAACTGCACACTATTGATCATTTTTAGCAAATCCATATAATTTACATTTTAATTCGTATCACAATTTTCTAGTCATTCAATAGCAATTACAAACTAGAGGCAGCATGTACCATATGGCAGCACTGAGACAAGCAGGGATTCTCTAAAGGAAGGAATATATTCACTGAGGTTCTTCTGAAGCAACAAAGAAAGAAGTACTTATGTGTATTGATTTTTCTGACTTGTTATTTTGATTTCACATACATAGGATTGGCTGATACTGGATTAAATATATCACCTTTTTATAGCCATATATGTGCTTTTGTTTGTGTTACAGCTCCTATAAACCAGCTTGTTCAAAAAGAGGAAAAACTGGAAGGTTCAGTGACATGGAAAACTTATCATGCTTATATTAAAGCATCTGGAGGTATATTCTGAAAAAATGTCTTTATGTAGAAGTTTTCACTTATTCCTTTAACAGTTCTGTTTTTAAAACAAAGATTTCTTATCAATGTTCTTTCCTAAAGCTAAACTCTGATATGGCATGGTACCATACTGACTCATTTTTCATGTTAAAGTTTTCTACTTTAGCCTTACCGAAATGAGACAAGTATGCACAAAAACAATTGTATTTCTGAAGAAATAAATCACTGTAAACTCCTGATATGTTTAAAAAAATAGAATTGCAGATTTCTTTTTTGTTTTCTTCTTTACAAAGAAATATTTTAGTACGTGAGAAATAATTTAAGAAAAATTCAATACCTAGAGGAAAATACTAGCTTGAGTAGAGCCCAAAGAACAAAATTTGGAACTGGATCAGAATGTCAGGCTCATCAAAATTTGGAATTCTTCACATTTAGGATTTAGTCTAGCCCATGCCACTGAGAAGTGAGCAGTAAAACGTATATATAGTTCAGGTTCAAATTCTACATCACACAAATTTCTAGGGTATCGGGCTCTGAGATTTTGCTTCTAGCCAATCTCTAAACCTAGAATTACACAAGAAAATTGCATGAATTATGTATCTACATGTGAATATGTTAGTCTTAAGATTTTACCCTGCTGAAATACATAATGTTTGAAGATAATCACAAACAAAGCAACTGTAACTATAAAAGTGTACCCAATTGTTTGGCCACACACCCTAATTAGGGCTGTGCGAAACACCATTGTTTCGTTTCAATGTCCATTTCACCATTTTGAAGGGACAGTGTTTCATTTCATCATGTTGTGTAATTTCAAAGCACTGTCTCATTTCGTTTCGTCAAAACTGTTTCTCCGTTTCGATTCATTTCGACGTTTCACCCATAGGCTATAATGTGGAATCATGAAAATGCCTAAAATGTTGTCATTTGTTGCCTGATTCAGATGCAAATTGCAGAGATAGTAGCCCCATCTAAGGGCATGAAGCCTGCCAAGTTTCAAGGAGATAGATGCAGGGGTTTCTCAGAAACTGCACCTCAAAGTCTCAAAAGCAAAATTTGCTGGCAGCAGCAGCCTCTTTTCATCCGGGGGCGCTCCCAGGGGTGTGCTGGGCTCCTCCCAGGGGTGTGGGCCCCCAGATCTGTGCTGGATGACAGACGGCTGCCGCTGCTGCCTGGGACTGGCGCTGGGCACAGACCGCACCCAGCACCAGGGAAGACAGATGCTGCTGCTGGCCCCAGGCAGCAGCCGCAGCCTCCTGTCATCTGGACGCAGATCACAGAAGGGCCGCAGGGCTGGGCTGTGCGAGCCCCCGGATCTGCACCAGGCGCCGTGGAGCTCAGCCTGGCGGTGGGAGGTAGAGCACAGCCCTGGCTCTGTCCACCTCTTGCCGCCGGGCTGCACTCCTCAGTATGTAGTTCTCCACATAGGCTCTGCCAGCCCCACAGAGCACAGCCCAGCAGTGGGAGGCAGGCAGAGCCAGCACTGTGCTCCCCACCGACTAAGCTACATGGGGCTGTGGAGCCTCTTGGAGTGCAGCCCTGGCTGTCCCCTGCCTCCCACCACCAGGCTGCTTTGCAACTTGACACATTTTCAAACTTTTGAAATGTTTTGAGCGCCCTCGTTTTGAAGCTGTTTCAGTGCTTTTTGTTTAATTTTGATTTTGCTGTTTCAAGCTCGAAAAGTATCAAAACAGCTTCAAAATAAAACACTGGGTGAAATTTCGCACAACCCTACTAACCATATACATGAAAATAAGTATTTGTGTGCATAAATCAGACATAACATACATAAAATGGACTTGAGACCCATTTATCAGATTTTATATGTATATTACTAATTCTTATAACCGTTTGTACCCAGTCGTGGATCCAGGATAGAGAAAAGAGTGTGGGCAGTGATGGTGGAGAGCTCACTGCGTATACCTCTGAAAGCTGAGACAAAAGCTCTTGGTAGTGAAGGGGGTACAGTTGCACTGCAGCAACCCTCTGGATCTGGCCCTGCTTGTATGCAAGAAGCATTATCTGTTATTTCAATGCTGAGCTCATTCAGAAAGATTCTGGCGGTTTGTGTGTGCAGTTATCTACATCAAGAATGTTCTCCCTTCCATTAATTTACTACCAGAATTTGAAATCCACATTCACACTGATTAACATTTCTGCACAATGGGACTATTCACATGAATAAATATTATTGTGAGCAAGGACGGCAGAATCTGGCTGTGAGCCAACATTCTGGTAAATGCAAAAATCTAATTAATATGAACACCCTTCTCTTTGGGCTAAAGTCTGTAGTCCTTACTCAGTTTTTACTTGGACAAAATGCTCCTTAATTTCATTGAGAAAAAACTGAGGCCACATACATGCATTATGTGTTTCTACAGGGAGAATCACGGCCCTCAGTAGTGACTACAAGTGTACAAGCATTCATTCAATTTCTCCCTGGGGGCGGGGGGAAACATGGCCCCTTCAGGCAAAAGGTCCTTAGGTATCAACCGGGAAGACACCCCTTGTGAGAGAAACTCTCTCACAAAAATCAAAGCCTGTACTCTCCCAGAGTTTACGATTAAACTCCTTGTTCACCTATCATTCCCATTCTTGTAAAGGCGAGTCCTTTGCACGTAGGGAACGAAGAATAAATAAGGGTTAAATAATAAAGTTTTGCTGCAAAAGTGTACAGCAGAGTAAATGAGTACAATGTGTTTAATCACTCTGACATCATCAGTTATTATTCCGGTTTTATGTTCCATTTTTAGGTTTCATACTGTCTTCCTTTGTTATACTTCTCTTTATGCTGATGATTGGCACCTCAGCTTTTGTTAACTGGTGGTTGAGTTTCTGGCTGGAACAGGGCTCAGGTGTAAGTGCACAACTATAACAATTTAATTGTAATTTTCTAGTTTTTCTGAAGATAGCTGTATATGTATTTGATGTGTTTACCATGAACAGTTATGTTTAATTATTTTATAAATTTTATAGCATGAAGGTAGTTGCATTACTGCTCTTTTCAAGTCTTGCTTCAGATAACATTCTTTTTTCTCTTAATTTCTTCCAAATCCAATAATTGCTTTTTTCTCTTTTATAGTCTTTATAAACCCTCTCTCTGCATTTCAGAGGGCTATGGACTCTTCCCCTGGACTTTGTTGAAGTTATTCCTGACAGTGTCCAGGGTATCATCACTTTTCACATAGTACATATTCACTATCATAAAATATATTCATTTTTTCCTCTCTCTCTCAGTAAATGGACCATATCAGCCCTGCCATTTTCAGTAACTCCTGGCCCATTCCAATGCATCATTACTTTCCCAGTTGCCAGTGTTCTCAATCTACATCACCCTTTTGGATGCACACGTATTTAACCCCAGTTTTTCCAACTCATTCCATCCCTAGTTTGGAGCTCCTCTGGAAGTTATTTTTTTACTTTTTCTGGCATCTCAGATTTTCTTTCTCAAGTCTCACCAACCCATTGACTAACATACTTTAAATTTTCTTCATTAGGTTTCCTATTCTCTTTAGTTAACAATTAACTTCCTGTATAAAGGCCTTTGTGATAATACATATTAAGGACCCTATGTAAAGGTAACATCGGGCATGTTTACATGTACTTTTACACCAGCCTAAACTCAATGCACATTAGCCTAATGTGCATTAGGGCAATTTAGGCACACCTCTACACTATGACAATGAGCATTAATGTGGGTGTGTGGACTGACTTGAGACTAAAGTTAGTCCCAAGTCAATGGATACAGACTGCATTAATGCACATAAACACGTCTACACATTCACTAATGTGATTTAGCTATTTGTGCATAAACTTGATACCTACTTTATGCAGGTATCAAATTTAGGCTTAAATAGTCTTGAATTGCCATTTTTAAGGTGCATTAAAGGCATGCACATTAATACCCGCATCCTTAATGCTCCTTAAATCGGGCTAATTTGCATTAAATACACACGTAGACACACCCATCAATTGCATTTAAGACATAATAGTTGGAATTTGAAACTGCATTCATATCTGATTTACTGCTTCACATTTTTCCACAATGAATTTAAATAAGTGGACATGAATCACACTGATTTGTATTAGCCTGAGAGCTCTATTATTGTACATATTTTAATGGCAGACAGTTAGTCCAAGATTTCCCAAGACTAATACTGATTAAGGATTAAACTGGGTCCTGACACCAGTCATATGGAGCACTAGGGGCCCTGTGTTTCAAAGGTACAATGATCCTTTGGTATCTCCACTGCATAGGAGAGGGTAGAGAGATTTACACACCTCATTTTCTGATACATTACACTATCCCCTATGCACCTATCAGAACTTTCCAGTGCATGGCCACTTTCCCTGCCTACCTATGAAAGGTTTTTGAGTGAAGAACTCATTCCCTCTTACTCCATCTGCAGCTATGTAGAGCACTTTTACAATCTATGTAGCCCTTACGTGATATAGCACATTTCCCCTAACACTAAATAACAGGTTATAATTAAAAACTTTGTTAAGCCCCAAAATTAGTTTTGCATCATTAAAACAACGCAACAACATCAAAAACCTAATCTTAAAGTAAATGGAAACAGCTTTTGGGTAAGATTCCGTATGCTGTATTTGTGACCTCAAGACAGCAATAGAATTGTTCTAGTGCAGAACCATAAAGCAAAACTCTAAACAAAAACAATCAATCCATTTTCACTCACCAAACTAATGGAAATCTAAAATGCAAACAATTAGTATCAGAGGAGAAAAGTAAAATAGATTCCTGATAACTTAAAGTACAATTAGCAAAATAGGCTAAAAATAAAAGGGTTAAAGCAGATGTCTGTAACAGTTTCCCTGAAATATTTACTTTTTATTATTTATTTTTTTCATAGATTCATAGATGTTAGATGTTAGGGTTGGAAGGGACCTCAATAGATCATCGAGTCCGACCCCCCCTTTTCGTTTTTAAATTTATTATATATATACGTGTGTGTGTGTGTGTATGTATGGATGGATGGATATAATGCACAGAAAAAAGAAGCTAAAAGGCTTCTGAAATTTGCAATTGTTTTTAAACAGGTATTAGGTTAAGGTAATTCTTTAAAGCTGTAGTAGTGTTTCAAAATCCTGATCCTGTTTTTCCTCATGTGAAATCCATTTCTCAATACCACTTTTATTTACAAAAAGATGCAAATGTGCTGACAAAAATAAAATATGGGTTATAAAGTACCAGCTTTTTAAAACATACTATTACCTTATTTTCACCAATCCAACCCTTGTTTCAGAGACTGAGAGTAAAAACTCTGACTTCTGGATTAGAGTGGTTGGCAGCCTGCTGAAATGTACAAGTGCAGGTTTTAAAATCAAACCATAGCTTTTAGGCACCAAAATGATAATATTTATTTATAGAGCATGATAGATGTGCATGGTATTTAAGAAGTATTATTTCTAGAGTAACAAGTCTGTGGCATATAGATATATCACAGATAACACTAAGCTCCACACTATGGTCATCTGAAGCTTAGAAACAGCAACATGGACCTGAGATTTTTTTTTAAAAGCCCTACAGCCAAAACAGTTACCTGTAATATGAAATGTATCTGAGCAGTTTTGATTCCATGAAGTAAAAGGAAAAGACACACACATAGGGAAATATAGCTGAGAATCCAGTTGAGTGCACATGTGCCTATTGTGGCATCTCAAACCAGGGGCAGGCATGTGACAGCCCCCCCTCAAATCCAACATCTCCCCATGCCACCCCCACACCAACCCACACACCCCACATGTCCTCAGAGCCCCCAACACCTCCCACTTCCCCCTGCAAACCCCACACCCACCCACACACCCCACACCACACAACTTCCACACCACCCCCACATCTCCCCACATCCCCATCCCCCTCCTGCAAACCCCACACACCCCACATCACCCCCACATTCTCCCACATCCACCCATACCCCTTCCCACCCCACTCCTGCAAACCTCACATCCCATCACACACCCAGCATGCCCAGCTGCCAGACAGGATGAGACCTGCTGGTAGGAGCTGTGGCTTCAGGGGCAGCTGTCCCCACATCCTGGTAAGTGAAGGGGTCAGGGGAGCTCTAATTTTTCTATGATAACAAAATCAAAAGCAAACATAAAAGCATATAGATATTTAGAATTTATTTTATTAGGATGATAGAGACACTGGTAGGCTTCCAAATTGCTTTAAAATTGTAAATATTGCCCAACTGATCACTCTCTCTGTCTCTGTCTCTATATATAGTGGTCTACATTGCCCAACTGATCACTCTCTCTGTCTCTGTCTCTATATATAGTGGTCTACATTGCCCAACTGATCACTCTCTCTGTCTCTGTCTCTATATATAGTGGTCTACATTGCCCAACTGATCACTCTCTCTGTCTCTGTCTCTATATATAGTGGTCTACATTGCCCAACTGATCACTCTCTCTGTCTCTGTCTCTATATATAGTGGTCTACATTGCGCCTGCTCAGGGCTGGCACCTGGGACCCAACTGGAGGGTAAATGAGGTGGCTGACCTCCTGGCCATTTGGGGCCAGGAGGACATGCTTTGACAGTTCAAAGCAGGTCACCACAAAGAGAACACCTTTCAGGCAATAGCTCCCCAGATGTCAGGGCGGGGGAACACATGTCAGCAGTGCCACACAAAGGCCAACTGTGCAGCTATGGCTCACTGGCAGCTGGCTCAGAGGTGCAGATGCCTCTGCTGCAGTGCCCATGGCACAGCTCAGGCAGCCATGCAGTCCCCGTGTGGGTCTGGCAGGCATACAGCTTTGGGGCTGCATGCTGTCGCAGGTGGCAGCAGGTCATAGTCAGGCAGCAGCCCCCAGTGCCAGTGTTCCCAGATACTATTTGGCTAGGTTCCAGAAGCTCCTGTCTATTTGTATCTTCCAGAGATCATGGGCCTTAAGGCCTACCTAGTTAACTAATAGCCCCGACTGTGTGGGGCCAAAGGTTGAAAGACAAAACTAGTTGGGTTTTTTTGGTGGGACAATGAAGGAAGAAGAGGGTAGGAGTGACATAGGGGTCAAAGGTTCAAAATGTGAAAAGAAGGTCTACAGAGGGGGACACTGAGCAGAGCCCCCTGAGATGCACCCACCGGTCCTCAAAGGCATCCAAAGAGCTGGTGTACACCTCCCACTGGTGCTGCACGCAGAAATGTGCATAGACAAATGAGAGGAAAGTGGCCCCACAGTCTCTGGGCACCTTCTTAGCCAGAGCCTCCTTCCTGGTCAAGTACAGGGATCACTTGGCCAGGGCCAAGAGGAGGTTGACCAGGAGGTCCCAGGACTTGGTGGGGCCACGGATGGGGTGACCAAAAGCAAAAAGGTGGGGGTGAAATTCAACCAGAACCTTAGGAGGAGGGTCATGTGCACCACGTTTTCCCTCTGCCTGCAGAAGAGGCAGTAGACTGGGGTGTCTACAAAGCTCGCCAGAAACATGTCCGGGGTGACGGCTCCATGGAGGAGCTGCCAGCTGAGGTCCCCAGTGACTCGTGGGATGAGGGTGGAGTACAGACTCAGCCACTAGGGTGCCCAGCTATGCCCTTGCCGAGCAGATCCCTCCACTTGGTGTCTGGGCAGGATGTGAGGGCAGCATGATGGATCGTGTGGCACATGAGTGTGTAGAGGTGGAGGTGATGGACAGTGGAAAAGCGGACCAGTCTGGTGTCCTCCAGCCAGCTCAGGTGGTGGAGTGGGGAGTGCCACAAGACTGGACGAGGCGCCAGCCCGATGACAAACTCCGGTGGGCTGGAGGACATGGTGGGGCAGGGACTGCCACTGTCTCATAAGCTCCTGACAGAAATTGCCCTGAGCTGCTTGCCAGGGCAGCTTTTTGTACTGCTGGGGCCAGCACAGGTGCTGGCCCCAGGCTCAAGCTCCCCCTGTCTGCAGAGGAGGTAGGAGGAGCTGGAGGAGGGAAGAGAAGGTGGGAGGAGCTGGACAGGGTCAGTTTGCCCCCAAGTGGCACTTTGCCCCAAAGTGTATGTTCAGGCACGTGCTGAGGCAAAAATCCCCGGCACAAATTTGTACCACTCTTATTTGAGCTGCTGCAAGTGCACGTGTCTGCATGTGTGGACATGCCCATACATGCTAAACAGAGCAGCAGAGAAAATTCCTAAAGCATAACATTTAATTTCCATACAAATACGAATGAGGGATAAGGTGCTAAAAGAAATAAGGGCTGGGATGTAGGCCAAAAGGAAGATGTTAATGGCAAGAATGGAATCTGTAAAACCTCAAATAAAGAGGAAACAAGTAAAGGAATTCATGTTACATCATGTAAATGGCTATTGCAAAATCTGTAGGATTTCAAATTGAAAAATGTTTTACTTCATAAAAAGTAACAACATTGGGTCACATTCAGGGCCAGTGGATCCTACTTTCTGAGGATTCCTTGTATAAAGAGGCAGTACAGCAATATCATAACAATTCTGTGGGCATGTCTACGTGTGCGCTTTAATGCTCAGTAGCCTATTTTATGGCACATTAAAGTGTTACATTGAAAACTGTGCTAATATGCTAATGCACAGTAAAAATAGGCTACTGTGCATTAAAAGTAATTAAAAAAAGTGTACACTTTTGCTACTGTGCATTAGGGCAGTCTAATGCACATTTATTTAGTACCTCACGTTAGAGGGCACTTTTATATGTGCTCCAGGAGTCAGGGGGCAGTGCTTTAATTAGAGTGGATCCGAGAGCCACCCTAATTAAAGCACTGCATTGTCTCATGTATCAGCATCCAAAATGGCAGTGGGGTCAGTTGAAATAAAGCTCATCGAATGTCCCCACCACTTTGAAGCATGGGGACTCAGATACATGAGAGATAGGAGTCTGCTGGAGCATGGTAATTACTATGCTCCAGCAGACTCAATTAATCAAGTCTGCTCTGACACACTGTAATTACAACACATTGGAGCAGCCTCCATGCCCATGTACAGCCAACCGGGGGTACTAAATTTAATGCACAGTAGCAAAAGCACATTAATGAATGTGTAGATGCATCCTCCATCTCTTACTCAGGCACATGGCAGTTTCTAATGGGGAAAGTGCTGTGGATGAGGTATCCGTATACTTCAGCTATCCAATCTTCCTTTATCCCTGTCATGTTATCAGAAACAGCTTTCACACTTCAATTACTGTCCTGTATCTGTTTGTTTCAAAGAAAATTTGCACCATCTTGGGTAATGACACAAAATACACCTGTGACATGGAAAACATCTTGGATAACCCCAGACTACACTTTTACCAATTCATCTATGGAATCAGCCTGGTGGCCATGATTGTCCTAAGTATCATCAGAGGGCTTCTTTTTACAAAGACAACATTAAAGGCTTCTTCAACACTGCATGATAATGTATTCTATAAGGTATGGTATATGCTTTGTTCTTTACCATTATTAAATGATATTTAATTTAATAAGTCAGGAAGGTGAGCAGTGTGATTTTGTAGTTAGGGCTGCTGTGGAGGGTCAGCAGTCACTCGTTGCATTCACAGCTCAGTTGTTCACTTATCATCTGACCTTGAGCAATATGCACAAACATTTTGTATCTCAGGTGTTTTGTTTATCACATTATAATACTATATACAGCAAAAGCTTTGTTATCTGGCACCCATGAGGAATGGGGGGTGCTGGATAACAAAATATGCTAGTTAATTGAGAGGCCCAAACAGGCGTCTTTGCCTGTTCAGGCTGCTGCTTCTCCCGACGCATCCGTGGCATCGCTGCCCCTCCCGCTGCATCACTGACCCTCCCGTGGGCCCTGAGGGACAGGGAGGCAGGCCCTGTGCAGCCTGCTATGCTCCGGGTCATGGGGGCTCAGCAGCATAGGCTGCTTTGCCCTGGGCCATGGGGGCTCGGTGAAACCAGAAGTGACACGGTGGACACTTCTGGTTTTGCTCTTACCTTACAAGCCAGCATGCCGGTTAATAGGGCATGCTGGCTTGTAAGGTGCCAGCTAAGGCAGCTTTTACTGTACCTACCTCAAAAGGTTGCTATAAGCTTTAATCAATTCATGTTTCCAAAGTGTTTAGAAGCTTATCAAATGAAAGACCCCATTTAAATGCAATTTTTTTTTTGGTAATCTGGGATGCAAATCAGTGCTGGTGAGGGATAGAGCCTCCCACCCTTGCCATGATACAACATGGCACAATAGAATAAGATGTACCAGAGAGATTCCCTATTTCCAGCCATTACTAGAGGGAAAATATGTGGACAAAAAGGGCTATGGGTAAAATATTCAAAAGTGCCCAAGTGATGTAGGAGGCTAAGTCTCATTCCCAAGTGCAATGTAGGTAGTTGGGACCAGATTATAAGGGTCAAATAGGTTCAAAGGAATTAAGCACTTAAGTCAAACACGGTTAGTCACCTAACCTACTTAGGATCTTTTGTAAAGCCCATTGATTCCAAATTCTATCATTTGTTCCTATATTTTATTAGGCCTTAATTTGTCAAGCTATTTCAGCAGGTGCCTATATCTAAGCATATATGTAACCCTAGTTAATTCAATGGAACCATCCACATGTTGTGAGCTAGGAATCTGTTTATGCACTTTGATTAAGGGTATACATCCCTTATTGTAATTATTCCCTTTTTAAAGTGTATTTTAGATCTCTATGATTCTCATTTGCATTTTTTTAAATTGTGAAAATAAGCCCTTAAGACACATTTAATTCTACTGTCAGAAGCTGCTTCACAAATACCACTGTTGCTTTAAGTGCTATAGTAAACTTATGTTTGCTGCTTCTATTATTTAAACCTTAGCCAAGATTAAGCTAATGTTTACTTTCCTACATAGATTCTAAATACAGTAAAAGACAAAGATTGCATCTGATTTTGCTGTTTCTCTTTATCCACAGATCTTACATAGTCCAATGAGTTTCTTTGATACAACTCCCACTGGTAGGCTAATGAACCGTTTTTCTAAGGATATGGATGAACTGGATATGAGACTTCCATTTCACGCTGAGAATTTTTTGCAGCAGTTTTTTATGGTGTTCTTTATTGTAGTCATAATAGGCCTTGTGTTCCCTTTTCTTCTAGTTGCAGTCATCGTCATAGCTGCTCTTTTTGTACTACTTTTTCAGTAAGTTGATGTTCTGGTTCTTTAAGAAATATTTTAAGCAATTTTTGGCCTGCAGAAACTGTAGTACATATGTTCATATGGTAATGCAGTTGCAGAATGCTCCAAATTCTTTCATAAACTATAACAGGAGGTTGGGAAACTACAGGAACCAAGAAGAAAATCTAAGACAGAAAATCACACCCAGAAAAAACTGGGAAGCTGTCAATCATCTTAGCTTCTATTAAAGGGCGAATACATTCACTCTTTATATTGCCTTCTACCAATATACCCCAGAACCATTGGTCTATTCAGAATGAGGCTCCTTAGACAGTAATTATTTACAACTTTCCATCAACACAAAAATAGGCAGGGATGAGTTTAACCAAGTTATCTTTGAATGCATTGATGTAGTGCACGTGCACTGAATGTACTTGGAAACTTCTGTCAGTGCAGAAACTGTATCTCTGCCAGCAACTTAAACCACACCAGAGAATTATAACAGGGCTGGATGGCTGGTGGGCTGCTACAGGCTGAGCTCTTCTCTTCACATTACAGCACATGATTATGCAACACATTTTGCTGGTATTTTTTTTATAGGCCTCTCATCTCCTCTTCATCTGGCAGGATAGGTGATGATAATTCTCAATTTGCAAAATCTGCTGTCATACTTCTGTACTCATAATGCATCAATAATGAAAAAGCAGGAAATAAAACTGAAAGTCTGGATTCTGCCTGCTCCCTTTCTGGGGGACAAACAGAAATATTTTCTAAACTGGCCGTAGTTTTGTGTGCCCAGTTTGAGTCCCCTGGAACAGACTTGATTTTCAAAAAGTGCTGGGCACCTTCCCTGAACATCCACTCCTAAAGAGAGCTCAAATTGGGAACCTAAAACTGCTACTCATTTTTTAAATTTGCACCAAAGAGCTTTCCTACCTTTGCATCCTCTGTTAGGCCTAGACATAATTGCTGTTCCTTTACTTGGCAAACTAAGTTACTCTTAAACTAAGAGGGCTGCCTTAGCCTTCTGGGAACAAAAGATGCTCTAAAGCAGTGTTGCTCAACCAACAGCCTGCAGGCTACCACTCTCACCACTTCCCACCACCCAGATTGCCAATTTTCTGTACCTATGGGGAGCCCAGCAGACCAAATCACACAGCCTTGTGCATCAGATCACACCAGCATACAGGATTGGTCCACAGCCAGATCTGGCACATGGGGTCAGTCCGTAGGCATAACCAGGCTAGCACACTGGCCTGACACCACCCATCCAGTCCAGGTTGGGCACTGCTGCTCTAAAGGAGGTATGGAGTGACAGAGAAGAGAGGAGATGAGACTGTGGCCAAAGCTTCCTTTGCAGTGACCAGCAAAGCTGGTGGAGCATGGTGCAGTATTTTGCATTCTTGGGCACTCCATGTAAGACTAAAAGGCAGGGCTGTCCAACATCAAAGCAGCTGTGGGCCACATGCCACAGTGGTCAAAGATCCTGAGCCATACAACACTGGGGCCTTGTGCTGTGGGGGGCTGAATGCTGTGCAGGCTACAGAGACCCCCATCATGTGCAATCCCTCCCACTGGAACAGCATGAGTCCACCCACCCCTACCATACAAGTCCCTGCTGCTGGCACTGGGCAGGGGAGGTCCTCCCATCACTGTGGCCATGCAGGCAGTACAAGCAACCCCCTACCAGAGCAGGGCAAGCCTACCCATCCCCCATCATGTGAGCCCTCTGCTGCTGCTGCTGCCAGGTGAGAGACCTCCCCCCCACACTTTCTTCCTCCTGCTATTGGGCAGGAGTGCCCCCTACCACCCACCTTTGCTGCTGCCTTGCAAGCAGTATGAGCCCACTCCCCCAATGCCATGTAGGCAATGGCATGCCATCATCTGAGAGCCCCCTGCCAGTGGTGCTGAGCAGGCAGCCTAAGCCTCCCCCTACTGCCTGGGCTACCTCTCACCATGCTGTCCTGCTCCAGAGGCCCCGTCCACCACTGCAGAAGCAGGAAGAATGCAGGGAGTGGCAGGTGGGCAGAAGCCCACAGGCCACCAGTTGGACAGCCCTGCTTCAAGGCATAGTTTCTGACAGAACAGCCTACTGGGTGGGACTGCTCCATATTCCCTCACTACAGGACATTTGAGGTTTTAGTTAAAAGTACTGGGTTTAGCAATGAAGCAATGAGATATATCCATAGTCTGCATTGCTATGTATAATATTGCTTCTATTTTGTTGCAGAATATTCAAGAGAGCTATTCGAGAGCTAAAGAGAATAGAAAATATTAGCAGATCACCACTGTACTCTCATATTTCTTCTTCTGTGCAAGGACTCAGTGTAATTCATGCCTATAATAAAAAAGAAGACTATATCAAACAGTAAGCTGCATACACTACAATTACACCTTCTTTGTTTTGCTTAGGACTCTGCTATGGACAGATAATATTGCCTTGTTATTCTTCACTGAATTTTCAATACTAGGGGTTGATACCTGCAGTGTTATTGATGAAACCATTCTGTTATCACACTACACGACCAGCAACAATCTGAGAATGATGGAAGAATACTCCTGATTTGTGCCATAGAATCTCAGAAGAGTCACACAGATAGCATTGTGTGTCCAGACCCGCTGTTTCAGCTTTCAAGCAATGTGTATTCAGTTATTTTTTGAATTTGAAGGGATCTTTAGTACCTAATTTAAGAGAAAGATTCAGTGAGCTCACATGCCTTGACTCAAAATGATACAGAATTTTATATAAAGGAGCAACACCTCCAGGCTTTGCTTTATGATGCCATGTGAACTGAACCATGCTAAATCTGTTCTATGGAGCTGAGAATAGACCTGCTTCTTTACTTTAAGATTTAGCTCTTATAGCCCCTTTGGGCACCTATACACATACAGCGAGGATGCTCCGATGCATTGCAATTAAAGTGCGTCAGAGCAGACTTGATTAATTGAGTCTGTTGGAGTGTGGTAATTACCGTGCTCCAGCAGACTCCAGCGTCATATGTATCAGCATCTCCATGCTGAAAAATGGCAGTGGGGCCACTTTTACTGAAGCCTGTTGATGTTCGATGAGTTTTAGTTAAAGCACCCCTGCCACCATTTTTCACTGAGGGGACACTGATACATGTGACACGCCAAGCACTTTAATTAGAGCAGCTCTTGGAGCCGCTCTGATTAAAGCACCTCCCCCACTGTACTCCCAGACCATATATAAACACCCTTTAATTCCAAATTCCTTACATATTCCTGAATATTCCTTACATATTCTCTCTCTTTTTTTTAAGATAGTTCCTGAATCATCAGTAATCTAGTCTCCCAAGACATCCTGCCTTCTCCAGAAGTCTAACACTTCCTTCCTTGGGGTCTTTAGGAAATACTGTATGGCCTCTCTCTCACAGCCACCAGTTGTAGGACCTGCCTCTTTAAACCCATCCATTCAGAAATATAATAACCATCCTCTATAAAGAAGAAGAGAAAATATTCCCATTCTTGATATAGGTCTTGTTGTCTAGAAGGATAAATCCAAGGACCTCTCAACTCCAACTAGTGATATCAATTAGTTACCTCCATTTTCTTCTTTTCTCACAGTCTTCTCTGGAGCTTGACAGTCCCTGGTCCTTGCCTGAGTAACAATGTTGAAAGGAGGCTGCAAGAAGAGTCACAGTCCTTTGCATTTTGGGGGGAAATGGGATAATGAGAGAGAGTATTCCCAGAGTGGGCACGAAAAATGCAGGTCGAAAGACCAGCTAATGCACTTCCCCTATGTGTTTGGTAATGAAGTAAGGATGTCTTAAAGAATCTGTTTACATTGTAAAACTTTACCAGAGCACAGGTTAATTAATATAATGCTAAATACAGTTCAGCCCTGAGTATAGCCAAGGCCTGTTACGTGGTTATGTTTAATACTACACGGACTCTGGCCTTACTAAGGCCAGATGATATGATGTTAAACATGAAAGCATTTTTCCATATGATGGATCTGCTTCTCATGCACTCTGAATGGACTGTAAATAACATAAATAACATCTGCACTTACTTTAAGGCCCTTTACACTGCTGAGCTGTGTCACTAACAGCATGTATGGGTCTTATCCAGAGAAAAAAAAGATACCACAACCACTAATGTATGTATGTGTGGGAATTTATGGAAATTCCATTAGGGATATAATTTGATTCCTCCTGATAAAATTCTGACCTAGAATATCTGCTCTTTTACTCAACTCTGTTTCCGTAACATTTTAAATCAACTTAGAGCATTACATGAAGGCTATGAAAAAGATGAATACAGCATCTCCTCTACAGAGGGGAGACAGATCTCATGTTCGCATATTAAAACTATTTTATACTCACAATGTTCATCTTTGTTTTCATTTCAGATTTAAAATGCTAAATGATGAAAACTCCAACCATTTTCTCCTATTTAACTGTGCACTACGATGGTTTGCACTTAGAACAGATATCCTTGCAGCCATTATAACTTTGATTGTGGCGTTATTTGTTGCTTTGAGCCCTTCTTCGATTAGTACTGCAGCAAAAGGCTTGGCTTTGTCCTATATAATCCAGGTAAAATGGAATGCTTGATATCCAGATTTAATCTATGTTGTTAACTATACTAGTGCATATAGTTTTCCTTTTCTAGCCACTCTTTATACCCCCAAATGTTATTTAAATATTACAATGACTTAATTTAGAATCAGATTATATTACCAATACTTATGATGGGTGGTACTTTATTTTGCAAATACTTCACTGGATTTTAAAGAAAGGTGCTACTACCCAAAGTGAGAGAGTGGAAGAATCCTACACTAGGAGAATACAGAGAAAACACATTTTGGAAAGACCTGAGATGCAAGCTCTGTACATTGCTAATCTACATAACCATGTTACCCTGTCCTCATTTCACCCCATCTTACCTCCTATAGTTTGTTAAACCTACTTTAATGCAACTCGCTGCGCACATATGCACCATGTCTCAATACATACTGTTGCCTTTTTATGCTACCACAATATGTATAACTAAATAGTAATTTCAAAGCACTCATGTTTACAGTACTCTAAATATCCCTTAGCTTTATACAGAATTTACAACAGAAAACGAAGCCTCTTTTTTTGGAAAAGCACAAAAATAAATGTGATTTGCTTTGCAATCATAAATGAAAATTAATACTATTTTCTTCTTAAAAGTCACACTAGCCATCCCTTTTTCGACATAGTTGGGGTAATATTGTTATTCCTTTTATAACATTTATGTTCACAATACAGTAATAGAGGCATTTCCAGTAGGGCTGTGCAAAGCTTCAGTCACTGATTTGATTCAGCAGAAATTTGGCCCAATTCAGCGGCTGAATCTCTGAATCCAAATTAAATCAGGAGACCCTTTAATCTCTCTGAATTGATTCAGAGAGATTTGGAGAGATTCGATGATTAGGACATAGATACAGCTTTAAATGTTTTTTCTACATACCTCAATGTACCAGGCGGCTTGTGAACACTGAGATGGTGGGGTGAATGGAGCGTCCCATGGCAGCACAGGGCGGTCTCTAGCGTGCTCGGCAGCAGACCCAGAAGTGGACCAAAAGTACTCTCGGTCCACTTCCGGGTCTGCCAGGGAGTGCGTGGGGTACCTCCCAACCCCCCAGTTTGGTGGCTGGTGCCTCCTGGGGCTGGGGAGGCACCTGGAGTCCCCCCCGGCCAGTCACTGAGCTGGGTGAGGTACGAGGGGGGTGGTACCTCGTGCACTGAGCACCAGACCTGGAAGTGGACCAGAACTACCTCCCGTCTACTTCCAAGTCTGCCACTGAGCACGTGTGGGAACCCCCCACACTCCTGTGGGACACACCATCTGCCCCACCATCTCAGTGTTCACGAGCTGCCTGGTACCTCGAGGTATGTAGAAAAAACATTTAAAGCTGTGTCTATGGCTGAATCACTGATTCTCCAAATCAGCATCGAATCTTCAGATTCAGGTTTGGCCGAACTGAATCGGGACAGTGATCCGAATCAATGAATCGAATCCCTGTCCCCTGAATCGGGCCAAATTTAAATCCAAATCGAATACGGCCCGCTTCACACTCCCCTAATTTCCAGTTCTAACAAACCTATTAGAAGCAATGTCTGCATCTTTACTTTTACTTCTGTCCCTAGCTCACTACTTCTTTTCATGGCATTTAGAACTCACACATCTGTTTAAAGTTTGTATGTAATAAATAAACATACCCAAAGAGCACTGCTACTGGGTTAATAATGTTGCCAAAACATATACTTTAAATACGTTAAAAATTCATATAAAAAATGTAGCATTTGCTTAAAATACAATATTTGCTCTTAACTGTTATGTAGTTAAAATTTCATGGTAAATATATTATTTAACACATTTCATTGACTACAGAATATCTCCTAACAGCAAGAAGAGAGGCCAGAAAAAACACAGAACTTCATGTCAAACTGTGAAAGATATTTTTCCATCTACTGCAGCTTGGCAGTCTCCACAGGCAGTTGTAATAGCTTTGAAATTGCCTGAGGGTCTATCATTGAGCCGTGTTGTTGATGGGCTTTTGCACTGCTTCATTCTCTTAAGCACCCTTTTACTTTGATTATTCACTTTTCTTTCCTCACCAGATATTTATTGTAGATAAAAATGAATAGAAAGCAGCTTCCCAATATGCATTGGGTTAAACAGGATATTCTGTGACTTGTCGTGTGATTTACAAGTACTTTTTCAAACTCTCACATAAGGATTTAGACATCCAGGCCTATTACAGGGTAAAAATCATCAAATGTAATTTTTTTCTGAAGATTCTACACTTTTAAAAAAGAAAGGAAGGGTGGACATAGCTGTGGGCTCAAAGGTGTTTATAGCCTTACTTGGGAGAGGCTGTAGAATGAAGGAATCACAGCAAGAGCCTGATGGGGATTATTGGCTGAACAAATAAAATGGATGAGACACCAGTGAGAAGATCAGGCTCTAAGAAATTAATTTTTACAGGAATAAAGAACAAATTAGGCACCCACATCAAAAGCTGGCTAACTCCCCTTTGTCCCTTTGAAAATCTCCCTATAAATTATCACCATCAAAGCCATGACTCACATCAGACAGAAAATTTAATATAAATCTCTTAATGACATTCAGAAGAGTTCAGTAAGGTGATGTAATAAATATAAACAAGTTTCTATGATTTTTTTTGTCCTTTATCCTGCAGAAACGTACATACATGCTTAACTTCCTGTATATGCAGGTAATTCTATTGAAATAAATTTTTATGATTATTATAGTTGAGTGGACTTCTCCAAGTATGTGTAAGATCAGGAATTGAGACAGAAACCACATTTACCTCTGTTGAACAAATAATGGAATATGTCTTGGTAAGAAATATATCTACATGTAACATTAAGTCCATACCGTTTATAAATATTATGGAAATATTTAACTGTTCACTACTATGGATCAACTGAATATTGTTCTATTTTAATGTCTCTGAGACATGTGTTCCTGAGGCTCCACAGCTTTCAAATATTTTGAAGTCTCCCAAAGGCTGGCCAAATCAAGGGGAAATTGTATTTAAAGATTACCAAATGAAATACAGAGAAAACAGTCCTATAGTTCTCCATGGTTTAAATATGAGAATTCATGGTCAAGAAACAATTGGTATTGTTGGCAGAACTGGCTCTGGTGAGATACACATTTTTCCTTAGTTTTTTTTTCTTTTATGGTAGTACATATAATAAATGTTAAGAGTTTTTTATTTTTAGAGGAAATTTAATTGTAATTGTGATTTTACATTCTAAGATCTCAGCTGTACCATTAAGATACATCCTTATATTAGGGCCAAATATTCATAGTAGTCACAGCAGCCCAAGAAGAAACTCTGGGTGGAAGTATATTCCCCAAAGTTTTGGGGACATCAGAAGGGCTCTGTTCAGCTATTAATGGCCATAGGAATTTCAATATTGGATCGATAAGACTAGACAATACTATATTTATAAATACTAAACTATACTATAAAGTCTACTTTTTTATCTGTAAGGCAGGCTAATCCAGAACTTCCTCCTTGAAACCACAGAGATCTGGGAAGTCATTGCCATTTTAGAAAACTGAAAACCATTATGGTAATTAACCTGCATGTGGACAATTACAAGAGTCCACCACAATAGATTCACTCAGCTTTGTTTTGCCTATATCTGATAAGACAGCAAATAGAAATCTTGGGAATGTCTATAAATACTTCCAAATTTCTTACTGAAGGCATGACCCAGCACATGGCTCATGCAGCCTACTGTAAGTGAGGTTATTCAGGCTGAATTATTCTTATAACAAAAGTATTACCTGTATAATGGTAATTTTTACATTGTTCTGTTATTTGATTAACAGTGCATATTAAAAATGAAAAGCTTCTCATGGCTTTCAGCAAAATTTCCAGTGGACGTCCTCATTACAAAGCCATTACTATAATTAACATTATTGACATACTCGTTAACACTCTCAATAGAAAGCCCAAGAGTGAATGAGCATGATTAATGAAATAATTTGTCACCCTAGAAAACAATCGCTTCCAGTGAGAGATGAGGCACGTTGGCAGAGGAAGAGACAACTAAATTTTAGAAACTTGTACTGTGGCTATGCTATGCTAAACCAGATCTCTGAATCTGAATAAAAGGAAGGAGTTCAGATTACAGATGTGTAAACCTGGAGCCTTGCAGTTCAAGCAAAATTCACTTTAAATAATTATTTTAAAAAAACACAAGGTATATCTATACCATTTTGTAATCCCCTACAGGAAAATCATCTCTAGGAGTGGCACTGTTTCGCCTAGCAGAACCAACTGCTGGTACCATCCTAATTGACAATGTTGATATCTGTACAATTAGTCTGGAAGATCTAAGAACAAAGCTTTCTGTTATTCCCCAAGATCCTGTTCTGTTTGTAGGTACAGTAAGGTATTTGGTGACATAATTCTAAATTAAACATTTAATTCAAAGTAAAATCTCATTTATCAGTACCATTTTTGGTAAGACTGCTAATATAATATTATAGTAATGATTTATATTATTTGAACAGTACCTAGAAGTCCTGACTAAACCCCATTCCAGCCAGCATATGACCTCAAGCTTAATGTGACTAAAATTGAGTTCATTTATCTTTTTCCTCTCCTCTCCTCTCCTCATATGTTTTTCATGACAGTTGATGCTTTCCCCCTAATAATTCACATAAAATTTTGCAGCCAAAGATAATCTCTGCCATTTCATTGCAACCATACCATCTTCTTTGAGTCAATCCACTGGCTTCATATTGTGCTATCCATTGAGCTCACCTTCCTGTACTTGCCTACATAGCCCTATAAAACACAGTGCTTGCCTATATATCTTTCCATCTTTATATTAAACCTTCATCTTCTCTCACAAGAACCACAATATCATCCTTCATGCTGCTTCTTATCCTTGGAATGTTTGCCCAACTTGCTCACCAACTTGTTTTATAATAGCTGTAAAAACCTCACTTCAATCTCTCCTACAGAGAATGAGGAAGAAAGACAGTAATTAGAATGGGTCTAATCACTTGTGTAAAGCATAGAGAACTTAGATCAGATTTGCAATATCAATTAAAGCAGCTATTATATTTTTATAATAATATCAACCAGTTCTTTATAATAATAAATTAACAAAGAGCATCACTATTTTGAAATAGAACTGAGGTTTCCCCCCTAAAGCTACCTAAGAACTCAAAATATACAACATGAAATATTAAAATAAAATGCTTCAAGGTAAGCTCCTTTCCTATTCAACCAACATTTTTCTATTCAAATTGAAATGATAATAATTTGCAAAATAAAGACTATCTTAATTTTTCCTTTTAGGTTCAACATTGATCCTTTCAGTACTTACACAGATGATCAGATCTGGCAAGCTCTTGAAAAAACATTTATGAAGGACAGAGTAGGTTTTGTGGTTTTGTGTCATAATTTTTTTTGTATAAAGATATAATAAATGAAAAGTCACTGTTTATTTATTTTTTTTGCTATTGTATCATTCATTATGCATTAATAATATGAAAATACATACTCTAATGAGAGTTCTGAATAGTGAACACCTACTTCCTGGTTCCCTCTTTCCATTTTATAGTGGCAGAATGTTTGAAATGCACTCCTCTGTAATGGTCATTCAAAATGACAACCTGCTAAAATGTGTGACAGTGAACAAGCAGTACATACTTTCTTAGTGGCTAATGTCAGAGTGGCTTTTTTATGCACTCTAGATATTGAAACTCCCAGGAAAATTACAGGCAGAAGTTGCTGAAAATGGAGAAAATTTCTCCATAGGAGAACGACAGCTGCTTTGTATGGCAAGAGCACTACTTCGAAATTCAAAAGTAAGTAGCTGGAGAGATTCGAATATTTCTAGCAATAGTCTTGAATACATGAGAGCTGTGGCAGGATGTGTCATCTAAAGAAAAGGGTGGGGAATGGGAACTGAAAAAGAAAGTAACACAGGTTAAAGACTGAGAGCTGTGGCACTTGAAAGTGAATCAAAAGATAGGGCCAGATCACCCCAAGTATAATTCAGGCATGATTAGGTTCTGAGGAATTGTATGCCCCATCGCAGTAATGTGATGTGCAGTTTTTACAATAGGGCATACAATTCCTCAGATCCCAGTTGCATGACTGCCAGGACTAAACCAGGTCCCAGAGCTGCCCCCTGCCTGGTCCCAGGGATCAGGGAGCAGTGGCTGTTTCCGCATTGCCCAGTGGCTGATTGCTGGTATTGCCCAGAACAGCCCTGAGTCTTGAACCAGGCCAGGACTGGCCTGGCCTCGTTCAAGACTCAGGGCTGTCCTGGGCCTGATGCCAACCCAGTCAGCTTATTGTCAGCAATGGGACAATTCCAGATGTGGTTCGAGATCTGGGGCTGCCCCCAGCCTGATCTGGAGTGTAACGTAACATAATGCAATCCCTGGGGATCAAGAGGGGGGCAGCCCTGGGACCCAGGACTGTCCTGATTCTGATGCTGACAACCATCTTATTGTCCACATCGGCTTGGGACAGTCCCAGATCTGAGATACATGCCACATGTTCAATTTAAGGTGCCCGACAAACCAACTGCAAAGATGTTCCATCTCCATGTTCTACTGAACAGCTTTGCCATTTTATCATAACATAAATTGGTTGAACATGTGACAGTACAATTTATGGCATGATTAACACCTTCATCATGCTATAAATGCAATGTATGTCAGGGACCTCAGTTAACACTCTAGACTTCAGTGAAGCTATATTCCAGCTGAGGGTTGATCCCAATGTCTTTTTTTGAAAAAAAAACATATTTGAGCAGCATCTGCTGTTCAGATATACTTTTTCAAATGAAAATGAAAATTTTAAACTTGAAATGCAGACCCTTGCCTGCAGGGATTTTCCCTTTCAAGGAGCAGATTCCCACAATCAACTTTTTATATTAACCTATGCATGTCTAAACTTCCTTGAAATGAAGTCCATGAAAACTTGTTCCTGAGAGGAACTAAGCTGTAATGTGATCCTAGATTTCCCAGTGCTGTGCAGTTACTAAAATAAACCCATAGCCAGGCTATCACAGTACTCCTCCAGTATTGACACTCTGCAAGTCTATAATTGCAGCAGCAAACAAGTCCTTTCAGATGCTTCTCAAAGCACAAAAACCTTGGTCTGGCTTTAATATCTATATATGAGCTTAATTTCCCTTAGAGTTTATTAGGCCCAAAAGTCTTATCACTGTATGGGCATATCTACTTGTCACCCTATGGCGACATTGTTACTGCACCATGCTTTAGTACTTTCTTTTGGAAGTACTAAACCACAGTGCAGCAACCACCCATACTGTGCCATGCATGCAGCACACGGTTAGTTTTAGCTGCTACTTTGCTGTAGCAGCATGCTAAAATGGGGGAGCAGGCTCCTACGGCAAAGTAGCAGCCGGTCACGTGTAGACTGTAGCGTGTCGTATGGTGATGTAGCGCATCACTGGGGCGACATAGGGCGACATGTAGATACATAAGTATCAAGGCCTCAGATTTTTGCATTTTAATACTGACACATGGACACTTTGTAGCTGGCACCGATCCATGCAAATATCTGGTCCCACTTTTAATGTTACAAAACATACATTGTTAGCTTAAATATGTTTTTTATTCTTTCACAACCACTCAAAAGAGTCAGGAAGACAAAGTTGCAGTAATCCATTGCCTCCCTCCACTACTATATTAAAAAAAAAATGAAATGTACTTTTTCACCTTTGGCAAACTGTCTCAAATCATGCTGCTAAATCATAATGGTCTTAAAATTGCCCCTTTGTAGTGGGTCACATTTTTAAAGGGACTTCTGTCTTCTCTACAATAAGGATTCTCAAGCAGGGTGCAGTGGCACCTTGGGATGCTATGAAGTTCTTTCAAAGGTATGTGGGGTACTGTGCAATATCGGCACTGTTATAAGTACAAAAACCTACATAATTCACAAAATAAATCCAAACATTTCAAACGGAAATCTATAGTGTCAAAAACATTCTGAACTGTTGCAGTCTTTCTGAGTTCTTTGCAACAGTCAAGAGGTGAGTGAAAGCTAAGAGCCGGCAGTTTCTGAGGGGTGCCTTGAGCCTAACAAGATTAAGAATCACAACTCTAAATCCACATTTGCAATTTTGAAAATAAACATGGTAGAATTCAAGCTCACAGCTGGGAGGACACCCCCTGAAGTTTGTATAAGAAGAATCTTTACAACGCTTTTAAGTTAGTAACACTAAGAAGTAAAAACAAGATTGTTAAATTTATGTCTGAGAATTTGAGGGCCAGGGAGAATTTTAAGCTCTGATCCTGCACAAACTTACAGATATTTAATGTTCCTTCTATAAATAAGTGTAATATGAATAGTCACACACATTTAGCACATACCTAAGTAGTTATAGATCAGGGTCAAACCCAAAATCTCCCCACCTTACATATTTTCAAATAAATCTCAGTGATGTGAATTTAATAATCTGATTTTAATGTTTGTGGTTTGAAATAAACATTTTAAAATGAATGTGTTTCTTAATAAACTCCATGTTTTAATATATGTTCCTGATTATTTTTGTTTGAAAGCTTTATAAGACTTCAAAATATTTTATAATGATTACTACCACATGATTAAAAGCTTTTTTTCCCTAATAGATCATTCTGCTTGATGAAGCCACAGCTTCAATTGATCCTGAAACAGATAGACTAATTCAGTGCACAATCAGAGATGCATTCAAGGACTGTACAGTCTTAACCATTGCACATCGCATCAACACTGTTCTGGAGTGTGACCGCATCCTGGTTATGAGCAATGGAGAGGTACAAGAATCAGACACGAAAAATGGCTAATAGACCACCTAATCCATCACTCTTCCACTGGCCACTTTTTCTTTATTGTACATTTTCTGAAGTTATGCCCACTTTATTTTCAAATGTCTGAAACATTTGGGCTTCCATTATTTCTGATGGGAAATTTTTCAACTACCAAAAAGATATCTCTACGTGGAAGCTTTGCCTTAACTTTTCCCTTTTTAACTTCTTCCCAGTATTCCTTGTCAAACCTACACCCACCCAAAATGTCCTTCTTTTCCTTGGCGTTTACACCCTTTATTCTCAGCGTCTTGGTCCCTGTACAACCAATACATTTGGCATGTGTTTAACTTCAGGGCCAAATTCAGGGTCAATATTAGTCCTGTAAGTGCATATTTGGGACTAACGCAACTCAACTCAACAAGTTTACACTATTATATCTCTTTCTTTTGTATGGTGTCAGATATCAACTTCAAAATCTATGGGCCACTGTCTGGTATTATCGTTTAATATGTTGATTCCATCTATACTGTCTGGGCATTTATAAAGATTGCAGCTTTTGATTAAGTTCTGTGCTGTTTGTTGGACACCACATTCACACGGGGTTGTCCAAGATGTTCATCTTGTGAAGTGTTGTTTTGCAACATCTGTATCTAGATCTCACTCTATTTAGCTTGATCCACACTTCTCTGTCAAGGTCGTGCCCAATGGGGGACTCATTTGGTGTTGGTATAAAATACTGTAGGAATAGGTCTGACCTTTCCCAGTGGTCAGTCCACTCCATTGCTACCTGTTGGTTTGATTCAGCATCCCTAATCTCTTCCAGGAGTTTGTGGGCTTCATGTGCAAATGATTTATGACTTTTAAGCCTCTTAAGCTTCCATTTGTTTGGGTCCTCAGTTAACAGTTGACAGGAGCAGGTGATTTTCATCATCTCTTGCCTCTATTGCCAGCAATGATGTTAGGGTATGTCTTCTTATATCACTTAGTCTAATGCCCAAGAATGCCCAAGAGTACAGAGAGCACATCTGTGTGTAAGTTGTGCAGCCTGTTATGTGTCTCAGTGCACTGTTAAGTACAGTGTCAAACTTTTTAGTGTAACAACTTCTGGACCATACAAGAGCACAATATTCTGCTGGCATGTATAATTGTGGCAAGTGCAGTGGTTCTAAGTACTTTGAAGTTGGCACCTCATGTCTTGCTGGCTAAATATCTTAAGGCAGCTACCTGTGCAGAGACTTTACTGCTGACCTTCTGAATGTGATGTTTATAGGTAAGGAAACAGTCTAATGTGACTTCTAGTTAGGTTGGAGCAAGCTCATGGGAAGGATGTGGTTGCCTACTCTGATATTCAGCATGTTTCTGGCTCGATGATTGTCCAGGTAGAAAAGTGAAGATACTGAATTATTGATGCTTAACTTTAAGTTACCTCTTGTGGAGACAGTCAGCAATGAGTTCCATGTCAGTACTAAGTATCTTTTCCAGTATTGTCATGTCTATTCCTTGGGCTACTGGGCTGCTGACATTGTCAGCAGACATGTATTGTTTAGATGCTGTATGCAGGAAGTCTGAGGGATATACATAGAAAAGCAGTCATGGGAAAAGTTTATGAAAAAAGTAACTAGTTAAAGTTAAAAGTTAGCAGCCTTTAACATTAACTTGAGTTAATTTAAAAGTTAAATATGTCCACTTTCAACTAGTTAAAAGGTAAGTTAAAAAGAAAGTACAGTAAAAGCTCTGTTATCTGGTGTACCCCGGGAATCAGGTATGCCGTATAACAAAATATGCTGGTTAATTGAGTGGCCCTGGCTCCTGCTTCTCCCACTGCATCTGGGACATCCCTCCACCCCTTGCGTGGCATCACCGCCCCTCTCGCCACATCGCTGCCCCTCCTGCGAGCCCTGTGGGCCCTGCAGGACAGGGAGGTGGGCTCCACACAGCCCTGCGCAGCCTGTTATGCCCACAGGCAATGGGGGCTCGGCAGTGCAGGCTGCTTTGCCCTGGGCCGTGGGGGCTCGGAGAAACTGGAAGTGCCACGGTGGGCTCTTCTGGTTTCACTTTTCTTTACAAGCCAGCATGCCGGTTAACAAAGCATGCCAGCTTGTAAGGTGCTGGCTACCAGACAGGTTACTGTAACTAGTTAAAAGTTAAGTTCATTTGTAAGAAATGTGTGAAACATGGTGAATTGCCTCTTAGTATCATTTTTCATTTTCAAATGCAATGAGTGGGTTTCTTTTCCACAAGCCCACAGAAACATACTAATTTACTCAGAACTCACCCTGCTTTACCTGAAAATAATGTTATACTAGTCATACAGTTTTCAGAATAACAATTTACCAATGCCTATGTAATGTTAGATCCTTCTCACCCTCTCCATGTGAAGTACTTTGTAAAAGTCAATGCATCATATAGGTATATCAGAATAACAGAAAGGAGATATTCATAGCTAGGTGACAAATGAAAGCTGTTTCCACAGAAAACCTCTGTTGTTACAATGTTTATTGCTCAAAAGGTAACAAAGGGGTATGAAATACATCTGAATTAGAAATAATGAAACTGTCTGAAAATCAAAATTAGACTGAAATGAGAAAATCAGTTTAAATGAGAAAAAGAATGTTGAGTTGCATAGGAGAAACTGTTTAAACATGCTTATTGAACTTCAGCAAAAGCTGCATTTCAAAATGTACATCTGACAATTTTCCTCTTCTGTCTTGCAAAACTAAGCCCTCACTACTGAACAATTGCTCTACATGGGCAGATGAGGGAATGCTCATGTTATAACGGATGTATAACTTTTCCATAGTAGGTGACATCTCAGATAAGTTTCTCACAGATGAGGAGTAATGCTCAACTCAAGGGCAATGTGTAGGGGGTGCACATGCACCCCCTGCGCATGGCGGTGCACCCCCTGCAAAAAGGCGCTACCAATACTGTTGGCGGCACCTGCAAGCTGTCGCCACTCACCACTCTGGTGCTGTCTGCGGACGGTCCACAATAGCCCCTGGCCGCTGGTTCTAAGTACTTTGAAGTTGGCCTGTGGGTGGTCCCCCGACCCCTGGTTGGCACTCGCCACCCCCTCCCTCCCCTGCTGCCAACAGTTCCAGCAGCGTCTGCGGGAGCTCCCCACTCACTGCTGCCAGGCTGCCGCTGCCATGCTCCCGCTGCAGCCGGCGCAGCCACGCCCTGCCCGCCCCCA